TCCCCATTGACTTCAATACATAGTTTTTCCAAAATAAGGTCCCATGGGTCGGAAGTAGATGGGCGCCTCTCTATAGTAAGTTAAAAAAATGTGAAATTATACGTTTTGGTAACTCTGGATAGCTATCGAGGCGAAAAAAAAGGTATCCTCTTCTTGTTGGGCCATAAATGAAGCCTTCATTTTCCCAGAAGATTGTACCTGGTGGAAAATAGGATTTCAGGCGCTGATGGAAATAATCGAAACGCAGGTGGTGTCATTATACTATCCACTGCCAGAGAATAGACAACTATTTGCTGACACCATTTGAAAGTTTAATGCATGAGAAAAATTGATGATTGTTATCTAAGGAGTCCATTGTTTTCTGTAATAAAAATAGAAATACATGTTGGCTTCTCTTCCTGTAATTTGTAGAAGTGCAAGCAAAGAGCATTTGCCATTGACACTTCATTGTTGTTTCATTTAACAGCCTCTTGGTGGATCATGAACAACAACTGACCGAGAAAAAGCTGCTGCTACTCAACACAATAAAAGCCGGAGGAAGAGCTGATTGTTTAATCTGTTTTATCTGCATTGTTTTTGTCCTTTGATATCCAATTTTTCCTGATGGCATGAGCAGGATTGTTTTTGCAAAGCTATGCTCCGAGGTTATAACAAAGAAGACTGCTCAGATAAATCAGTTAGGAGTAACACTAATTAAAACCTTGGAGATGAGGAATTGAGGCAACGCAATCTTTTATTGTGTGATCAGGATTTGTGCCAACACTCATTTAACTGGCACACTTCTTGCTTCTGATTTGATATAAACGCAAGAAATGAAAAGACCTTTGCATGATTTCTTATTTCTCAGTGCTAGTTTATTTAAATCAAAACTACATCTTAGAATAGATATCATGTACCCGATGTCACAAAAATATAAACACATGAATGACAACTGCTCTTTCCATCCATCCCTCCCCTCATTCTCCAGTACAGACTAAACCAGTCTTAGTGGTAGGGTTTTCCTGCATTTCCCCTTGTTCTGTCTGTGGTATTGTGCTTTGTTGTCTCCTTCAAAGCTTCGCTGCCAAGCATCTTTTATGCTGATGGGTTAGAAAGCCAGTAGATAGAACATACTGTAGGTGATTGTGGTCCGCATCTAAAATGTTGTTATCAGTGTGTCACTCCTGCACTTTAGAAAAATATGAAACGTGGACCTATGGATATTTATTGTAGATCGTCTATTATTAAAGATAAAATGAACTGCTGTTATAACAAGCCAATAGCTGCACTGAAGTGTAGTGAGACATTAGCAGACGATAACAAATTAAGTTTACTTGTACTGTTACTCTAGAAAAAACCCTCAAAAGCCATTGTTTTGCATTTGCAGTGTAAACAGTACAGTGACACATAGAAGTTTATATTTTGAGTACTTAAATCCAGGAGAAGGTGTTCTGTGTGATGAAAGTCTATTCAGATTGTGTACAGTATTTAATGAAAGCTGTAAGTAGTTGTTGTAGAACATTGGTAAATGTACAGTATGATAGTAAAGTAAGCTGTGGTTGCTCCGATAACGTGAGAATGAATGTGTTCACTCTCTCTTTTTTAAAGTGTTTTATCTTTTCTTTTATGAAGAATATACTGTTGTTATGTGGATGCTATGTTTGTTTTTTGGCATGAAATAAAGTTCATGGCTTGTTGATGACATTAAATGTTTCATTGAATGTGCCCTGGCTAAGAATGAGTACAATGTTTATGAATTGTGATCTAATTGAAAAATAACAGGTATTTACTTTAAAATGAAAGGTAAGGTTTACTCTATACTTTTAATTATAGTTATTTGACTTCACAGCAACTTACTTAACAAAATTAAGCAGTGTAAGTCGTGGATTTTAATACTTAAAATCCAACCAATACATAATCGAAATTAAAATATAACGTATGAGGATTTATTATAAGCATTGTTGGTGCTACCAACAATGCATTCTTTTTATTCTGACATTGAAAATCACCCAATGTAATGTGCTACCACAGCAGCTGAAAGTTATACTCACATAATTCTTAATAAGTAGTTTATATCAATTATTTTACATATCACACATGATTCCAAAAAAAACTCCAGCAGGGAGAGATCCAACATGTCAGTCCGTATACAATTAAAGGTTTTCTCTATGATGCAAACTGAAGAAAGTGAGGATGATGCAGTCTTTCACAACTGCATGAATGCTTGTGCTTCTTCAGATCTCAAACTATAATCCTTTCCTGTTACGATTTTCTCCTCAGTGACAGTAGGGCTCCTGCTGGTATTTTCAGGCGAAAACAACTGCCAGCAGCGTGGGATAAAACATCATGTTTCATGTATTGGCAGCAAGTCAGGTGTCCCAGAATCAAACCTGCCTGATTTTCAATCCGCCTACAGCCTCTATTTTCTGCGCTAGCAAATTAGTCTTATTCTAAAACAGACGTGAGAAGACACTATTACATGTAAGGTGGACATTAGGGAGATCAGTGTGGATTGATTGCTTGTAAATGGGTCTCATATGTGGGGATTGGCATCCATTAGCTGTCTTTCCACCATGTTAAAGCACTTTAACAGCTATTTGATCAATATGGAGTATATTGTGCTTGTGTTTGTGCTTGTGTATCATTAAGATTAAGTGGTTAGTATAGGTGAAGACAGGGTGAGAGGAGAAGAAGTGATGTGTGTAGAGAGAGTACAGAGAGATATTGGCAGGGGAAAATCAGGGTCATCTGTCAGGGTACAACTCAAGCAGAAAACCTGAGCTCCAGGTTTCCTCGACACACACAAACACACTTGAGTGGCCAGATTTGTGATACACTATAAGGAGGGTGGATGGGGGAGGAGGAGGAAGTGGGAGTTTGCAGTAGAGGAGAATGCAGCAATGGATACAGTTACATGTCTTATAGCATTTTCCAGTCCATCTCAGTGACAGTTTATCAAGGAGGATTTACTTAAGACCCTATGGCTAAATATATTTTTGGAATCAGAGGGCGTTTGATCTGTCTTATCAGATGGGCTCTGATGCCTAATGTCATTAGCTATTTGCTGTGGCATCAGCGGCAGATGACACAAACACAAGTGGAGCATCAGCTCACAGGGAGAATAACAGCAGAGAGGATGGAGTCTCAGTTTCAGTTTATGTTGTACAGGTGATAGAATTCAGCATTGCTTGACCACTCCTGCCCGTAACCATGGTGAAGGCTGCTCTTTTGGTTTGAGTATAACCATACATTGTTGCAGCGCTGAGTGCATACAGAAAACTGCAGTAAGTGAGCACATCATTTAATTGTGCTCACTTTTTGAAGTTAGTTTTAAGGTCTCCAAATGGCTTTGTAGCCACAGAGATGCCAGAAATGAAGACTGAACCTGCAGCACTTAATTGTTTCCCTGTCTACAGCCTCTGGAAATGTGTGTTATTTTACTGAAAAGGAAAACCATTTACAGTTTGTGAATGATATACTGAGTCACTGTTTGAATAGCCTGGCTAGGCAAAAAACACTTGACCAGCACAGAGTAGTTGAGAGGTGCAAGTGGATGTGAACTCAAAAGCACCACAATGGTCTACGAGGGATGGAGAGAATGAAATGAAAAACTAAAATACAAATACAAATATACAGGATAGAAAGATATGGAGGCAAAGAAGAAAGAGCAGCAGGGAGGTAAATAAACCCAACTTTCAACATCGTCCTCATCACGGGGAAATGCAGTACGTTTGAGTAGAGGAGACCTATTGAAAAGACTGATGAAAAGAAATATGAAACCAAGAGGAATGTGGGCGAGTGATTGAAACCGGGGGTGGTTGATATTTGAAGAGTGGAGAAACGGTCAATTGGCCCTGTGCAATAGGAGAATAAAAGGAGGGAGAGGACATTGAGAAGATGCAAACCTAAACAAAAAATGATATATAGGACAGAGAGGTTTAAGATGGCAGAGAGTGGGATTTAAAATCTTTCGGTAGGCCTAATGGGAATAATGATGATAATTTAAACATGTATTAAAAAACATTACATACACTGTAGGTGATAAAGCTGCAAGATAATGAAAAACAGAAAATAAATAGCAAGGCAAAAACACAAAACATGAAAGCAATCTGACTTTAAGTGAATACAAAATGTTTCGCTGATATGTTTGTTTCACAGAGATGATCACTGCCAGATGTCCATAATCACTTCCTGTTCGTCTACCCATGTATTATACTCATTGGTAAGAACTTTGAGGTTTTTATATTACACTCACCTGACACCTGAATTCTGCATTTAGCATGACTCACTAAACAATATATTATAAATATTGCACTTAAGTGTCCCTTTTGTAGCACTTCGCATATTAAAAATGATGTCAAAGCTCTGTTTTGATACATTTTTTCCTTTTGTAGGGAGCAACTAATTCTTTATTTCATTTGTAAACATAATAACTCCCCAGATAGAGATTTAAGATGTCGTTTTTGAGGTATAGTGACGATTATGACACACTGCTGTAGTTTAGTGTATCATAATGAAGTCCAATCCCCAACAGTAAAATGGCATATACATAATGGATATAGCTGTAACATACCATAGGTGTTTTTTCTACTGAATAATTGTTCTACCATAAATTGGTTCTTTTACTTAAATTCAGGTTTGAATTCTTCCTCCCCCTTTGGTTACAACAATCTATTTTTAAACTCTGCCTCTGAAAGTATTTAATTAATACCGGCCAACTTTTAACACATTTTTGTCTTGATACTGAAGGAGATGGAGCACAAACTACCTAGACTTGTACATTTATGGATTTTTCACAGAGCAGGTCGATCCAAAGCCTTCCTGTAAGACGTTGACTATCTCAGTTTATTCCTCTGTGTGGGCCATCTTTCCTATCTGTCATAACTGTCGCTGCAAGCAGTAATTAATGTGCCACCATGCTGATGCAACACATTGGGTGTAGTTATCATATCAGTTCAAATCATGACAGCAATATATTTTTTAATACACAATGCAGTCACACCACTTATTTATCCAAAACACTTTTAGTCTAGTCATAATGTTCCTGTCTGACAAATTGGCCTTTCATAAATTAATGTGTAATAATTAAAACATTTCAGGCTGAATTTCAATGGTAGAGTGGAGCTAATTTGATCAGAATAATCATCATTATTATACACATTTGCGTCACTTGAACAAACTACAGCAATAAAATGTTTCTTACACAATAAAATATGAGAAATACAAATAATTTGTAGTAATTAACAGTATTATTATGCAAAATGATTGCAAATAATTGCAAATGTCCCCTCTGTGGGACGAATAAAGGTATTCTGATTCTGTATTCAGATGACTTTTTCTTAGGATTCTTGTGTACATTTTGGTGATAATACTTGTAATGTATTTGAATTTTTTAAATCTTTAATACAAAAACTTTACAATGTGTTTAAAGTAAAATGGGGGCTTTAGAGCAGAGTATTCTATATTAAGATTTGGAGCTGCATATTGCATGTTAGACAAACATCCATCAATCCAATCCAATCCAATCCACTTTATTTCTATAGCACATTTGAAAAACAGAGGGTTTGCCAAAGTGCTTCACAACAAACATATCATTATAACAAAATATAATATTACAAGAATAGATAAAAGGCAGACATAAGAATACATACAAGGCACATAAAGGCTATGGACAGACAATAAAAGCATACAAATAGGTAGAGCATAGCTCAGACTGACTCGAAAGCGAGGGAAAAGAGGTGGGTCTTTAGGCGGGACTTAAAAGTTTGAAGAGTGGGCGACAAATTGACATGGGGGGGCAGGTCGTTCTAGAGCCTGGGAGCTACCGCTGAGAAGGCTCGGTCTCCCCTGGTCCTTTTCTTTGTTTTAGGGACTACCAGCCGCAGCTGATCAGCCGACCTCAAAGCGGTGATAGACGTGCAATCATTACTAATGCATTTTAATACAGGGGTATCTCCTCTTGCACTTTAGGTAAAACTGATGCTCTCTTCAGGAAGGGACAGAGCAAGCTGTTCTTCCTGAGGAGGCTCAGGTCATTCAATGTGTGCACGAGGCTGCTGCGGATGTTCTACCAGTCTGTGGTGGCCAGTGTGCTCCTCTTTGCCGTGGTGTGCTGGGGTGGAAACACAAACACTAGGGACACTGGCAGGCTGAACAAGCTTGTGAGGAAGGCTAGCTCTGTAGTTGGAGTACAAATGGACAATCTGGAGGAGGTGGCAGAGGGGAGGATGAGGAGGAAGCTTGACAGCATCCTAGAGAACCCCTCCCACCCACTCCATGCAGAGCTAGTGAAGATGAGGAGTATGTTCAGCCACAGACTCATCCCTCCTCGACACAGCATCAAGCGCCTCGGACAGTCCTTTGTGCCTGTAGCCATCAGGCTGCACAACAAGAGGTCAATAATGTAAAAAATTAAAATCACTGGACATAAATATACACTGTTTCCACAACCCATGTTAATATATATTAGTAGTAGACCAAATATGTAGATAGATATGTCACTATATGTACAGATGTCCATTTTCACTTGTCACTTTAACTCATTTCGTACTTCATAATATGACCAAATATGTATATATGCTGACAGTTATTTTACTCTTATTTTTACTCATCTCTTATTTCAGAGTCTTTTATTATTATTATCATTATTATTTTAATTATTTTTCTTGATTTTATTTTTCATTTTATTAATCTGTCTGAATCTGTGCTGTCCTGTTTTTCACGCTTACCCTGTTGCTGCTTGTACAACTGAATTTCCCTTATAATCTGACTTTTGTCTGCATTTTGCATACATATGTGTTTAAAATGTTGTAAAGACGTTTTAAGTTTTATGTGAGATGGATGGAAGCGAAATCAAATTCTGGCCCTGTTTAGCTTGACACACCTTAATATGAAGTCATTACCGTGCGCCTTTGAAAACGATATAAAAAAAAACAGCCTTTGAGGGGTGTACACCGTAGGAGACGGAATACGAGGCCAACCCATTATGCGCCGCAATTAGTGTGGCGCAGCAGGTTTGCCACTGCGAAAAAGAGCCTCATCATATAATTTGCTGGGCCCTTGGCAGGACGCCTGCCCTAGGAGTCGTCCCGCACCGCTCAACTCAGGGGGGAGCGCCGGTTGGCTGATCGGGTGCATGCTTTTCTGCTGGGCCGCCAGACGTGTTTGCTGCGGCACTGCCATGCTTCGCGGGTTCCGATAAGCAGCGAGCCGGCAGCGTTTTGTACAGAGACTGCAGCGTTGCAAACGAGGTCTGGTTTAGGCGCATAAAGGCATTACAATAATCCAACGAGTGAACAATAAAGGCAAGAATTACACCCAAAGACAAAAAAAAGGAAAAACGTTTAACTGGAGAGGAGCCTCAGGATAAAAACTGGAACTCACACTGGGAGACACATGGACGCGCTCGTGGTCGCCGTCAGCGCAAACTTACATGAGCACGTTTAGACAAATAATAAATAAGGGGCGTGCCAGGCTGTCAGCGAACCGATCGCTTTCTGCGCGACTTATCACTCAAATGCGGGACATAGTCTCAATGTGTGGGACGCGGGACAAATAATAAAAATGCTGTGTGTGCAGTCCCGCACAGTGCGGGACACCTGGTCACCTTACACACACAGTTCTGCCCCTCACACACACAAGCTTTAAATCAAGTTGCATAAATGCTTGAGCTACGTTTTTATTATAATTACTGTGAAATCTGCCTATTATGTTTTCGTCATTATTACAACAAACACACATTTGCAACTGATAACACTGGCAATGATTTTAGGTGTATTAGACAATTAAAAAAGAAATCATGCTTCAAATAAGTGGGGGTACGGCGTAGGCCTACCCCCGCGTCCAACGCCCACTACACCACTGCCATTTGGTCCAAACACAATTGAAGTGCAGTGCTGAGAAATAGCGCCATCTGGTTTCCCCCGAGATAACTATACTACCTTACTGTAGGCCAACCTCTGATTTCTCTCCTTCGTTTCTCCACAGAATCAGGTGATCATTAGCAATGATTAGCAGTTTCTGACCGTCTCCGAGGTGGGCCTGCCCTATATAGGGGTAAAATGAGGAGGACATCACACACGACCTCTAGGATGAGCTTCCGCCCCCAAAGATAAGAAACATTGATGCAAATCTTATTTCTTGCACGGCTGTTGTGAGACAATAACTTGTATCTTCAATGCATAACATGCATTTTCATTTCCTTCGTTTATTGTTTTTAAATGACTTACGAAATGTATTTAGAAAGCTTAGAAATAAACCTTAAGAATATTTTATTTACTCCCTGTTGTTTATTCTCTCGAATTCGTTCACATCTTGCCTGTTTACGCACTTGTTGACGACAACAAAGTTCGACTAAAAACGAATTATCTGGAATTTGCAATGTTTTTCTAGTTACTCACAGGTGTAAACTATAGCAGTGACAGCTGCACGCTAATTGCTATCATCACAGGCTGAATGTATGTGTATGCTGACAAACTACTGCGTGTATCAACTAATCATTGATATAATTACTTAGTATTTGTGGTGGTCATTTTTTGACTGCTGTGTCTTTAAATCCCCCATGATCCCTCGCGGTTTTTGTTGGAACGTTGTGATTTAAAAACTAGCTGCTTATAAAATCAATAATTGTATGGGACAACTACCTGCAGCATTTTACAAGAGTATAACTATTACATACATTATAGTTCCAGTTCCAAATATAGTGACACCTTGACTGTAAGTAACCTTTATCTGTCGTCCTACTTATTCTTCTCGCCCACCGTTTACATCCGGGCATTCAGAAGGCTTGCTATCTGGGCTACTAGCTGGGAACTTGTTTCTCTAACTCGCCCAGGGGAAAGTCCCCGGACATAAGGCAGAGAGTGTCCTGGTTGAAATCAGTGTCGGGTTGCGTTTACCGGTCATTAGCTGAGACGTTCTTGCGAACAGAGCTTGGTAATCGCGAGCCGACTTTGTCAGCGTTACTAGTAATGCAAGTGAGCTGAAACTCACGCGGAAACAGAACGGGGCTCATTCTCGGAATGTCACATATTTTCATAGGTGGGAGAAGTATATATAAGTATAAAGAATATAAGCATATATAAGTACAAAAATAAGCATTCACATATACTTAATGTATGTATAATAATATAATGTAATATAATTTTGTATGTAGTAAAATAACTACGTTAATTGGCCCCTTTCAAAATAATATATTACGTGTTGTTTATTATTCAAATCATTAATAACGAAAGGATTACAAAAATATAGTGGAGTAAAGTTACACCATTTATCTATTTTAATGTTCTTAATTACTTTATACCACTGCATTTTTTACAACAATTTTAGATAACCATAGACTTCAAGTAGCCTATATAAGGCTAGAATTCCCATACAACCCATAATGTAATTTTAAAAAGGGGCAATCATAACAACTTTAAGATTTCTATAATTTATTTGGAAATGACTTAAATCAATAATTACTTATAGGCATTGCATTGATCTACAACCTAATTACAACTGGGTCTCTAGAGAACATTCACAAAATGATACAACGCAAACCCAATTGTTTTGAGTTTGAGAAATATTTGTATTTATACATAGGCTTACTATTCTCCCTGTTGTGCATTACTGTAGTTTATATGTTGCAGTTTATGTAGTAGGATATTATGTAGTTGTGCATCACCTTTAGTTTATATGTTAGGTTTATATATTAGGTTTAAATACCACAAGATGAATCCCTATAGTTCCAGAAACAAGTTTCCAACTTGAAACATGTTTTTAGGTCGCCATCCAGTGGTTGAATATGTGACGTGCAGCCCAAGACAAGTGCCTGAGACACATTCAGGGGAATTCACCTGACATCTTGCACTAAAACCTTAAATCTCTCAAAAGATTTTTGTGAAGTGCTCCGAATGTTATTTCTTTTATCAATTGCCCTATAGACCGCAGCTTGCTTGAACATTTTAACAGATCAAATCAAATATTAGAAGCTGAAGTTAAATAGTTATATTTCTATGTCTAATTGCCCATCAAAAAGTAGATTTACCTCTTGAACAGACTTTTCTATACAGACCAGAATGTGTCAGCATTGTAAATGAGATTTTATCTCAATGCTTTTTATCTGGTTAAATAAAGGTTAAATAAAAACAATTATGAAACAGTATTGGCACACTTTCTTTGTTGTGCTGAGTAGGTTTGGACCTCTTTGAACACCTGGTGTCAATTTCACAATTCCACAATATGGTGGGAAAATCATCAGGTGATCGAGAAGCGTCATTTGCCTTATCATCATTACTCAGCATTACCTGTCCTGAACATGGCCAGTGGGTATCCATTTTCTCTCTGGTGTTACCTTTCTGCACAACAGGGAGAACAAAGACACTATTTTCCCATATTGACACCACTAGAGGGAGCGCCGGATCTACAGCATCCTGGCTAATGCATTCTGACATGAGAACACAGACACAGGCACACATGGACATAGTGTTTACTACTGGATTAGCAGCAAACGAAAAGCTTACAGCATCACATGGTGGCCCCTCCAAATGGAGCCGACCAGTAACCTACTTCCCCCTCTGAGCTATCCCATCATCCATTTGGAGTGGGCGTAGGCTCAGGCAGCATCACAAAGGTTCAGCTCCTCCCTGCTGTATCCTGGAGAGACAGAAGGAGGGAGGGAGAGGATCAGGGTCAGATGAATACCAGTGTGAGTGTGACGAAGGCAGCAAATGAAGAGGAGACTGTGTGTACATGTGTGTGAGAGAGGACGAATCAGGGAGGGCTAGAGAGAGAGAGAGTTGGAGGGGGGGTGGGGGGCATTGTGTGTGTGAAGGAGACAGAGAGGAAACCCAGACAGGAGGAGGAAGAGGACCTTAGAGGGAGGAAGGAAAAGGGGGGCACGAGGGAAAAAGACAAGACAAGAGGACCCAGATTAAGAAGGAAGATGGCTGAGCCGGAGCTGAAATCCAGGAGCAGCCGAGAGAGCGTTGCCAAGGCAGCCAGCCAGGAGAAGATAGGGGGTAGGTAATGCATGCTCACACTCCTGTAGATACCACATGGTGCAGGGCGGCATTATGCCTCCATGCACCCTGATGCAACATTGCCTGATGCAAAAGTACCTTCAGATTGATGTGGCTATAGAGATGCATCAGGGTGATTTGGGTGTCTATGTGATGGTGAAAGGTGGGATAATGTGAGACGTTGTGCACCTACAGCTACTGTTTCCTGTCCTTTACTGAGAGTCTAAATACAATAAACTGCTTTTGGGTGTGTCTACCAGAACAGAGGGAGCGGTAAATAAGGGAAATCTCAGCCAACAGGTTTTTACAATTAATCATAATCAGCCTGTTTTTCAACAGTTCATGCCAGCAATGTACCCACATTATTAAACAACAATGCATTATGCTCTGCTGCTTGACATGACTTGTTTTTGTTGTCATATATGTTTGGTATTTCATTCTCCTAAATGTACCTGCTTAAAATATCTCAACAAAGAAATACTTCAAATAATACTTTTTCACTTTGATCATTCTCTTTCTTTTGTGATCTCTGGCAAAACTAAATGTTCATACCTCAGATGGGAAACTCTTGTCTGAACTTCTGGTTCTGCTGTCCTCTCTCCTCCAGCAGTTGAATCAGAACCAGACCAAGATGGTCTTATTGTGGAGCATCCAGCATCTCCAACTACCCCCATGGTCCCTTCTCCCACTAGCCCTGCGACAGACTCTGCCAAAGGGGAGAAGATCGTGCTCAAACGCAGCATCACCCTCTTCAATGGAGTGGGGATGATCATAGGCACCATCATCGGCTCTGGCATTTTCGTCACTCCAACAGGCGTGGTCAAAGAGACCGGCTCAGCGGGGCTCTCCCTGATCGTCTGGTCTGTCTGTGGGGTGATCTCCACCATGGGCGCCCTGTGTTACGCCGAGCTGGGCACCACCATCACCAAGTCTGGGGGAGACTACACCTACATCCTGGAGGTGTACGGAGAACTGGCGGCTTTTCTTAAGCTGTGGGTGGAGATGCTCATCATCCGGCCCTCTTCCCAGTATGTGGTATCGCTGGTGTTCGCCACCTACCTGCTGAAACCTCTGTACCCAAACTGCCCTGTGCCCGATAGTGCCGCCAAGCTCCTCGCATGCTTGTGTCTAAGTGAGTGTGGGTTGCTGGCCTTTAATGTTCTAATTTTTATTTTATTTACAGATGACACATTCACATATTTTACTTTATTCCAGATGTCTATTCCCCTAATGCCTTACTTTTATGTTTTTCTGTAGCCTCCCTGACGTTTGTAAACTGCATCAGTGTGAGAGCGGCTACCAAGGTGCAGGACTTGTTCACAGCCTCCAAACTGCTAGCCTTGATCATCATCATCCTCTTTGGCTTCATCCAGATTTCAACAGGTGAGTCCTACTTGGTCAAAGTCTACTAGACAGAAACACAGATGTTTAATGTGTCAAATGTTTCTTAAATAAAGATGTCAGGTCCATAAACCTGTGCTGTATATAGCATTCTGTGGCCACAGGTCTACGAAACACACCTACAACAACAGCAGCGTTACATTACAAACTCATTCTATAACTTAAGTTGAAATTGTTTGGCAGCTGAGTTTTACATTTAAATCTTTTTCACTATTTGATATCATTTTAAATTTGAAGACTGACGTCTCGATAACGATGTTGACAAGTTGATGCTGAGTAAAATCTCCCACAAAACGTTATGGAAAACAAGCTGGCTTGGTTTCTCTTTTGTGTCAAAAAAACTAATGCTAAACACTACTAAACATAATGTGTATGTTTGATAAGGCTTCTGCCAGTATTATCATCATATTATATTAACCTTGGCCAAACAAAAATACATGGGTAAACCCTTTTTTGAAACTGTTTTTCACACTCCAAACCATCTTCAATGGTTGAATAAGTGTGTTTTTGCCCCTTCCTAACAAGCATTCTGCCCCATCCAATATGAAAAGTGTGTGTTCCCCAGCATGCAGCTGTACACCTTGTCTTAAACCAACTCCCACTTCTTTTTATTACCATCAATACTGTTTGTAGGTTTTACCAAAGTATAGTTAACATCCGTTATTGTCTCAGAGTTTATTGGCGCTGCTGAAACCGAAGTTTATTTCTTTTGTCTCTAATGATCAACAAATTGTTGACTGACACTAATGAGCTCGACCGAGCAGACTGCCCTCCTTTCAGTTTGTTAGCACATCAGTTGCTGAGTCTGAACACAAGGCCTTCTGTCTGCAGCATGATGAGTCTGAGCAAGTGTGCAGCCAAGAAAATGTGTGTGCGTGGGTGTACTTTGAAGTTGAACGCTGATGAGCGTAGTTAGTTTAATAAATATCTGTACAATGTGAATACAGACAATTTGTAAACCAACATTCTAAAATGTATATCCTCATGTAACAGAAATACTGGACGTTTTAGAAACATTAATGCTGCAAAAAAGAGGCAAGTGCTCTGATGAATGCAGTCAGTCATTGTTCTTCTCAATTTGAGCTGAATCTTCCATACCATAGCCCTAAACATGGAGGCTGTTGTGGAGCATTGCAAATCAATCTCTAACAGCAACAGATAGATGTGCTTTTCAAAACTGAGATAGCAAAGCAACTTTAGCTCTGGTCAAGACATTCAAAATAAAACCGCGTGGCAATCGTCTGCTCCGTTTTCCATCTGCTGCCCCCCACCCTCTGCCTTTTTTCCCTTCAAGGCCACACCCACTCTCATTGTGCTCCACACAGCGTTGCCATGGAAACTAGGCGGCGAAGCTTGCCGGCTTTCAGAGCACAGGAGAGAAGGACGGAGTGAAAAAATAATGTGTGTTTAATAGGCCACCCATAGTCATTACCATCTGAAAGCGACAGGTAGAGGAGAGAACCATGCGATACCTACACACACGCACACACACACACACACACACACACACACACACACACACACACACACACACACACACACACACACACACACACACACACACACACACACACAGTACATCAAAGCAGATGTTCAAACCTGGAGGCAAGTGTTCCAAACTGCCTAGTTGAAAATGTCAAGCCTGTCAAAGGGCAGGGAGCTACAGCCTGGCCTTCATGCACAAATGAAATGAAGCAGCAGCAGCCATGAGTAAGAATCCATTAAATGTCTATGAAGTCACACAGTTAGTTCATGAACTTAAGCTGCAAGTATAGAGAGAGTGACAGAGTTATATTTCCCTTTCAGTTGTTTTAGATTCCTGTAATTCCTTTTCTGTGTGTGTGCGTGCGTGCGTGCGTGTGTGTGTGTGCGCGTGTCTAGGTGATGTGCCGTACCTGACACTAGAGAAGTCATTTGAAGGCAGTAAACTAGGAGTGGACAACATTGTCTTGGCTCTATACAGCGGTCTCTTTGCTTTTGGAGGCTGGTAAGGCATTTGCGACCTATTTCAAAATGTTTTACAGACCGGAAATAGTCACGATTTATTTAACTGTATGCTGTGCAATATAGATTACAGTTATTCCAGTCTTTATCTAATCGCTGACATATTGTTGAACTCTTTGTATTTGTTTTTAGGAACTACCTGAATTACGTGACAGAGGAGATGATCGATCCAGAGAGGTAACATAAATGTTATGAAGGTTGTTTTGAGCATTGTACATGCCAACCACATGACTTCCCTTATCCATTACTGAGCTTGTTTACCATCAGTTGACTGCATGGAGATACAGTTTTCAAAATGAGTTGATGCCCCTCACATTTTATTGCAATCCAAAAGCAGCCTCAAAAACAGCTTTAGAGCTGAATAAACACATTTAAGTTGTAGTTTTGAATTGCATCAGTGTATTTAGATGTTCCAGTTGTTATGTATTGTGTTAAATAATCTAGAACACTGACCGTTGTAAAATAAATATATGAATTACTATTGTCACATTTGCCAAACAATTAGACATAATTCAAAAATAAATAGGAGATTGTTCCTCAAATTACCTATTGACCTTTCCCCCCAGGAACCTGCCCTTGTCCATCATCATATCGATGCCTATAGTGACGGTGGTGTACGTTCTGACCAACCTGGCCTACTTCACCACCATCTCCCCCGAACAAATGGTCGAGTCTGAGGCTGTTGCCGTGGTGAGAATCATGTCTCTTTCATAAAGTTCCCAAAGCAACAACTCAAAGCCACCAGTTGCATCTTGTTGGTATGAGTAGTGTTTTCTCATTTATGTTGTTGTGCTTTTTGTCAGACCTTCGGGGAGTACCACCTTGGTGGGATGTCCTGGCTGATTCCTGTCTTTGTGGGACTGTCCTGCTTCGGAGCCGTTAACGGATCCCTTTTCACCTCAGCACGGTGAGTGTTTTCACAGAGAGCCGGGGTAAAGGTTAGCAGGGGTTTTCCCTTTTAAGACTGCTCCTTTTCTCAGAAAAAGGACGCGCCCCCTCACCCCCCTTAGTTTACTTGGTTAGTTTTGCTCAATTCCTGGAAGTCTTTGGGATCATGATTATGTTATTTGATCCCATGGGACTCAATAATTGAGCCAAGAATGCCTAATAGTACTGTTTGATGAAACTTCAGACTACAACAAGAAAAAGTCTGTTCCTGAAGTTGGGATAGTGTGAACTACTTTTAAATTCCTCATAACTTCTGTACCTCTGAACTTATTCTTTGACCAACTTCAACACATATACAATACTCTATCTATATGATCTTTTTACCAGGGAAATATGTTTTTGATTGAGCCTCCCTATAAACTTCTTCGAGTCCCTCTGGGGACTTTACATCATCTCAACTTAAAAGACCTTTGGTCTAGAGAATAACTCTATATAAGATTTGTATTGTTCCAATACAACAGTTTATAGCTGCTTTTTTTGTTTGGATTGGAAAAAAACGACAGGGAGTTTCTGTTTGTTTGGCTGTCTGTTAAAACATTTTAAAAAACAAAAGACTGCTCCAACAGGTTAAGGCTCAATATTTGCTTTGCGGATTACATTTCAGTCGCAAATTGATCTTTACAGGTTCAACACCCAATGTTAGAAGGATGTGCAGTTTCATATACATTGAGGATGAAACATGTTACATAGGCAACTATTGCATCACAAAACAACCACTACAAAGCTTTCCCTCTTCCAGGTTGTTCTATGCTGGAGCTCGAGAGGGTCAGCTCCCTGCTGCTCTGGGATTGGTCCACACAGACGTCTTCACACCGGTGCCATCCCTCATCTTCACAGTAAGACTCCTGCTACCCACAAGAATTATCCCATGGTTACTCTTGTGTTTTATCAAAGATCACATTTAGAAAATTCTGGGTGTGAGAAACAACCTATAATAACATCCAATAAGATTTAATTAAAGGTGGATCAAGCATCAATATTGTTTCTGACAGGTGTCCTCTAGTTAAATATGGTTAGTAGTTAGTTATTTGTTGTTGTTATTTGTATTGAACACGATTATTTTAAGTAAAAACATCTGAAGTTCACAATGAAAGCATGTAGCTTATATATATATATATATTTACATTTATCTTGAGGAGCACAAGTTAAATGCATAACTAATATAATCTTGTCTTCCTTTTCCCTTGTATCAGTGTTTGCTGTCCATGATGTACGCCATCTCCAACGACATTTTCTCTGTCATCAACCTCTTCAGCTTCTTCACTTGGCTGTGCGTGGGTATGGCCATTGCCGGCATGCTCTGGCTGCGCTTTACCAAGCCCGACCTCAGAAGGCCCATCAAGGTAGGGTACCAACGTCTAAAAGGTTGTTTTGCATGTTGGTAAATGCTTGTTGCACTGGAGATTTTCAGGGGATTATTTTTTAGAGGAATTGAGATTCACTGAGAGGTACACAAGTCAAGTAAGACCTTGGCTTTACCTCAACCTCAGCCCGTTTCTTTGTCGAAAGCAACAAAATATCTCCTGGTGTTATAGAGCATCCACTTTTCTTTCTTTTAAAGACAGCACCATTGTTTCACTGCCCTTGTTATTATTTTGAAGAAGAACCATGCTTTGTTTTCAGAATCAGAGGGAGTGGGGTTTGGCTCTTTGTTTCTGTTTCATCATTGGAATATTACGTTGGTTCTCTAGCCTTTTATCTTTGCTTTGAGCCTGAGCCATTTGATTTGAAGATGAACCTCTAACAAGGAATTGCTATAGCTCGAAATATACTTAGTGTAGGCCTACCTAATTTTAAATTATCCTCAAGCAGACTCGCCCATTTACAATGTATAATATATATAATTGCATTATAATTATTGAGGCATAAATGAATAATGATACGTAATATCTTGTTGGTTATCATTTGTATTTTTTTTCTGTAGTAACAATTAACTTAAGTAAGTTGTGTAGTAAAGCGTTATAAATTGTACTAAGGAAGAAGTAGCATTAAATGGAAAAACTTAAAGTGGACCTATCATGCTATATTTGAAACATATATTATAGGGCCATACCTATATAAAACATGTCTGTGAAGTTTTTTTTTCAAAATACCAAACAGATCATGCATTTTAGCCATGCCTCATTTCGCTCTATTTGCTCTTTTCCAGCCCTGTTTTTGCAAGGGCTGATTCTGCTTTTGTGGCAGACTACAGCGCCACTTACAGGCCTGGCATATGTACTACAGTGTCTCCAGCGCTTTCGAGCGGTCTCTCATTCCCCTGATAGGTGGAGAGTTGCCCATATAGGCGGAGCACCCCTTTTCTGACGTCAGAAAAATTCAAATAATAATCAGCTCCGTTGCAGCCCCGTTTTTAGAGATTTGGGTATGGAGGAAAAGAGAGAGGGTTGTGTTTTTGACACTTGGTGAGTTCGCTGACACACCGGGGATACATATTCATGCATAAAAGACATACAAAAGTGCATTTTGCATGATAGGTCCCCTTTAAGTAAGGTACCTCAAAATTGTACCAAAAAAGTACAGTACTTATGTAAATATACTATAACACAAATGCTTCAATAAGCCAATAACTTAGATGGTTTCATCTATCATTATTGTATCACACCATCTGTTATATCTACAATACTCAGTATATAAAATGTATAGTGTTTTCCGGCTTTTAAGACATATATGCATTATTTTACAACTTATTGCTGTCCATAACCAAAGGCATAATATTGTATGAAGCAGGGACGTGCACAGGTACGGGCTATTGTTGCCCATTTGCCCGTTTTGTCTGACCTGCCGCTCCGGAGAGAGTGAGAGTTGTTTTTTGTTTCTGTTTTGGCCGAATCAACATGATAAGCCCACAATTAGTATTGTAGCGTCTCGCTGCGGGAAACACACCTTGTCAGCGCTCTCATCTGCCCCCAGTCACGTGACTTTGTTTACAATCCGACAGCTGAAAGCAAAGGAAAGCCTCCGGCCTCATATGGCTATGGTGATCATACCAAATGCCTGCCTGGCTTTGGTGGCCAATCCCAGGGTCAATCTGTCCCTGGAAATGTCCCCGTTTTTAAATGGTTATATTGATTTTGAGCTTTCTCATGGCAGTTACAGTATAGGGGACAAACCAGGGGACTTTACTTGACAGTGTCGGTTATTTACAAAAAAAACACCTAAATAAATATACTTGTTATTGTGCTTCTGTCTTTCTGTGTCTTTTGCTCTGCTCCGTAAACTCCCTCACTGCTCTCTCTGTTTTCTCGATCGCCCTCTCACATACGGGAGAACCCTTCACCATCCCGCTTTATTGTAGGATTTCTGCCATGTCTCTACCACTTTAGTTTGACCATCTCTGTTATTAAGTTATGGAATACTAAATAAATAAGCAATTAGATACCTTACCGTTACTGCGCTCATAAAGAATGAGAAGAATTAGAATAATGCGTATTGAACTGGTTTAATTAATTAGTTAGTTTATTTAAGGTAATTAGTTAGAAGCCCTATTTTATCAGTAGGTCTATGTCTGCACAGCAGTTACAATTGTCAAACTACATTAAAACAGAATTGTCCCCATTTTTTCTTTAATAGTTACTAACATTAGATGTTAAAAATGTGCCTGAATAACAAATGTAGCAGTTGGACATAAAAGTCAACTGAGTGTCACTTGCAATGACATTGTTGTGTTTTTATTTCATGAGCCTTTTACATTAAAAAAATGTTAGAATTTTCAAAAGGTCTTATGTTTTTTTTCGGGGGGGATGCCCTTTTTCAGGTTTAGAGCAATAACCTCTCCAAATGTCTGTGCACGTCCCTGGTATGAAGTCACATTACCTTACATTTGTCAATAATACATTCTAGAAGATGAGTTCTCTTAAATTTAGTCATTTTTGTCAAACATCAGTATTTTTTTCTACCCTCCTCTTGTCTAACAGGAACACATACCTACATCTGTCATATCCTCTTTTCTCAGGTTTATCTTTTCATTCCTGTGACCTTCGTTCTGGGCTGTGTCTTCATGATCTCGGTGTCCTTCTGGGCGGCTCCCTTTGAGTGCCTGATAGGCACCGGCATTATTCTCACAGGCATCCCGGCGTACCTACTGGGCTACAAGTGGAAAAAACCCCATGTGATCAAGAAGATGTCGGGTGAGTGAGAGATGTGTTTTTTGTAATACAGTCTTTGTGTATTTGTTCAGGCAAGGCCGGAGAAGCTTCCATTACTGTTTGTTGTGAAATTCATGTGAGAATATTTGCTCGAGTGCAGCTGTGGGCACTGATACATTTGTTTTGTTTGTATAATCTGTTTGAAGAACTCCAACAAAGGTGTTAATCTAATGTTTAATACAAATCTGACAATATTCAACCTGCAGTAACCTAGCAAGAGAAAACAGCTGATGTGATGAGTTGTTTCTCCTCAGAAATCTTCACCATGTTCTGTCAGAAGATCTTCATGGCTGTTCCTGAGGAGAGGGAGCAGCATGAGGCGGCTGAATAACGCTGGACACACTGAAGGACTGACTGTCAATATTATCATCTGAACATCCTTCATATGTTTACATTCATTCGCTTGTGATTTGGCTAACGCAGTTTTTTTGTGAAACTTGAACTATCCAGGCAGGGAGCTGTGGAACACATTTGTAATGTGCAAATGCAGGCTGGAAAATGACGGAGTATTTACGTATGCTCTTATTTAACCTTCAGAGTAACCAACATATTTTGATTACACTGCAAAATTGGAAAAATATATGTCAGACTGTGACATTTCCCACTTGCCTTTCCTCTAAATTTGAAAGTATTTCCTAAAATGCTAGAACAGGAATGCATTAGTTAGAAAGTTAATGGAGAGCTGAGTAAGTGTTGCAGACACATCATTTAATGTGTGCGTTTGAAGCTCCAAACAATTCACTCTGGTGGCCTAAAACTTACAAGTTAATGGTTAGTAAATACTTTCTTCTAGTGGACTAATTTGCAGTAAAAAGACCTTTCCTTAGAAACGTACAGTGGACAGTATAAAAATAGGGTCAGGGTTGGAAGAGGAAATCATTAACAAGCATAGCACTTATTACATTATACTCAGACTACTAATATTTGTTTTCATGACTCCAATATTTGTATGTTTTTGTATTCATTTGATAAATGAAGTCATAGCACCATGTAAAAGCGCAAGCTAAAGTGAGTTAAAACTGTGTATATGTCATGTTTCCTGGAGATGTGTTGCTGTGAAGTAGGTCTGTTTGCCCGATTCAATGCTCTGTACTGTATGTGACGATATTTGATGAAATGACTGTGGATACCAGCAGCTGTGGCATTATAAGAAACTAATGACCTGCATAGATGTCATTTTGGTTGTATTTAAAAAGCACCATTGTAGTTTTTGTGTTTTGTATTGCTTGTATCTATGATCTGTGCCGGCTATGTCGGTGCTGATATTCCATTTGTTATGTTTTATTGTTACTATAAGACCAGAATGAATGTTGCAAATTAAGTGACATCAGTTTTGCCTTTATATTTTACTGATAAATTCTTACTTTTTAACTGAATATTTGAGGTTTTCCCCAAATTATTGAAAGCACTTTTCAACTCTACTTAAGATACCAGAGGAAAATATATGGAGGTTTTGTTTGTTGGGAAAAGCTTATAATAGAGATTCCACTTTAACATCACAAAGTCTGGGTTTTGCCATTACATCTACCAAAATTGTTAATAATAATTCATACTGATTGAAGACGCCCAACAAAAACACATGTGCCATTCCTCCAAAATACATTTTAGGTAAAGCTTTCGGAAATAGTCTCCAACATTTTAATTGACAGATAAAATGTTGTGTTTCTCTTTTGAGAAACACAAGCACTCCTCAAAGATCATTGTGTTAGTAAAGGGAATTTGGAGCAAGGCAGCACAACAAAGTGGACAAATATCAATCGAAATAAAAAAATACCACCATGGATATACATCATCATACATAAAGGTAGAAGGAAGAACGTGTAGTCTGCTAGAGCTAAAGAAAAGTTGATGGGAAAGTTTATTGAACATTTGGGAACACGTTGCACCTTTTCCACTACACAATTTATCAATGTTTAACTGTTAGATAGCACAACAGTAAACAGCACAATAGTTCAATAATTAATTATTTATGTGCCCTTTATTACAACCTATGAAAAACATATTTTATCATTGATTGAATGAAAAAATTGTTTATAAAGACCACATCATATATTTCATGTCATGCAAAACATACTGTATCTCGACGTACAAAGTGGTACTGTTTGTATAATTAAGTCCTTTAAATGTATACACCTAATGCAAATGTTATGGAGAAAAGACTAGTATAGCAAATTTTGTATCTAAAAAATGTCATTTTTTGCGAGTGTTGTATGTCAGTGACCTTGGCGGTGCCTGTAACAATAAAAATATTTTTGTTCAAAGTTGTTGGTGTTTTGTTCAGCCAAAATGAAAGTTTCCTAAGAAGGTTCTTCACTGTTGCATAAATGAAGAGCCCTTATAAACTTGCATCAGTTAACAACAAGGCCAGCCCCAGCCGAGAACAAGCAATCCCACGACACGAGAGAGCCTTTAAACAAATGGGGATGTTTCACAAGCATGATTTTACTCAGAATGTCGTAAAGCAGCTGTATCATCTCAGCCATCAAGTGTTTGGGTAGTGGTCTGTATGAAATGCTCTGTCCTCTGTTGTATGTCGTGTCTTGTTTATATGCTTTCAGACAATGGTGCTGCCAATGCCTGTGCTGTAAGGAGAGTTCATTTCCGTCTGAAAAGGAAATGAGATGGTCCAATGGCTACTGATAAAACCAGTAGCAGTACTGATAGAGACAATATTAGAGATGGCAGATTGGACAGGCAAGGAGCTAATATTGCACAAGTGACATACTGTATAGTGTATTTTGATGCCTTCTGCAAAAATTAAAGGCATCAAAAAGAGAATTGACTTGGAATACCAAACTATGGCAGTTTTTATGGCATGCTAAAATATGCAATTGGAAGTATTATGTTGACAAATCTGAAAAAAATGACACAGTATAATGTACCAAAAAAAAGTAACGCTATAGTAACATAATATAGAATTTCGAAAAAAGGTCGTAGGCTCAGTGCGTAGGGACCTGGTCTTGGAACCGAAGGGTCGCCGTTTCACGTCCCGATCGGACCAAAACATATGGAGTGAGCTGGTAGCTGGAGAGGTGCCAGTTCACCTCCAAGGCCACTGCCGAGGTGCCCTTGAGCAAAGCACCTAGCCTCGATCTGCTCCCTTGGCTCCGGGTATCTGGCAGCCTCTCTGCTCTGCCACCTCTCCTATCTGCATGTGGTTGTGCATGTATATCCTCCCCTGTGTGTGTAATGTGTGTAAACACAACAGAGTGGAGAAAGCAATGTCCCTGTAAGGGATTAATAAAGTAGGTACATGTCGGAAATATGAAAAAAAACAACATAATATGTAGACAAATCTGAAACATGTCAAAGTATAGTATGTCGAAAATATCAGAAAAAAGTGACAATATAGTATGAAAAAAAGAAATAGTATAGTATGTCGGAAAAAGTCATGGTATAGTATGTCGAAAATATAAAACATTTTCTAGTATAGAAAAAAGTCATAGTATAGTATATCGAAAAATCTGAAAAAAGTCATACTTCGAAGTAATCTGAAAAAAGTCATAGTATAGAATGTCGAAGTAATCTGAGAACAAATCAATAGTATAGTATGTAGAAATAGATCATAATATATAGTATCTCGAAAAAAAGTCATAATATATCAGAAATGTCAGAAGAAAAGTTATAGTATGTTGGAAAAAGGTCACAGCATGTCGAAATATGAAAAAAAGACATAGTATAGTATGTGGAAAATATATATATATAAAAAAAGTATAGTATGTCAAAACTTCTGCAAAAATCCAACATAGTATGTCGAGAATATCAGAAAAAAGACAAAGTATAATATGTCGAAAAAAAGTCATAGTATGTAAAAAAAAAAAAAAAACATAGTATAGCATGTCGAAAGTATCAGAAAAAAGTAATACGTATGTCGAAGAAATCGAATAAAATGAAACAGTGTACTATGTTGAAAAAAAGTCATAGTATAGTATGTTGAAAATATCTGAAAAAAGTCATAGTATGTCGAAAAGAAGTCATAGTATAAAAATATTCATAATATCAGAAACAACAACATATAGAATGCCATAAAAATGAACAACATAGTATGTCTAAACGAAATGAAAAAAACAACATAGTAAAGCTTGTCGAAAAAAATGTGGCATGTGGAGTGATTCACCACCAGGACTGCACGTCACCAGCAGATGGCGACAGAGGAGCATCAGAAGGAGAAGAGGAGCGGCCCAGTCCAGTCCTCACTGCATCAGTCAGCCGTTACAGTCTTCATAAAACATCGAGCTTTAAAGCTATATGAAACAATATTTTTAGTTTTCCTCTCCATGCTTTGGCATTAAAAGTATATCCTGCAGCTTAAATCCAATTGAAGGGTACTTAAAGGGTACCTACACAGTAATACATTCACATCTGAAACCTGCACAGGAATTGTACAGCTGTTGTATAAGTATAGTTATGACGATTGAAGAACCTTTGATTTATTTTATTGTCATTAAAGCATATCAGTATTATAAAACGAGTAAGTCATTGAGCTGAAACAGAGTGATTCTTTGCAGTTTGGAAATGAAAAACGATGTGGTAGGTTTTCCTAATAAACTCTGGGGGGCACTGCGTCATCATCAAGGAGAAAGTGAGAGAGAAGGAAAGAGAGAGAGGCTGAGTGAGAGAGAGATGGGAGAGGGAAGAGGGAGGGGGGAGAGCAAAAGAGAGGGGTGGAGGGATGATAGATTCCATTTCTATTCTACCTTTAATCCAAGTGTGAAATTCATAAGTAAAATGCAGTCCTATTTTTCTTCTCAGGTAGTTCTCTGAAAGGCCGTGTACTGCGGCATCAACGCTGAGTTTCATCCTCACACCTTTACCAGAAAACACAACCAGCGGGCTAAAATGTTTGCTTGATATACTTTATTGATCATGTCTGGTTTTATGAAAAGAAAAAAAGAGTAAACTGTGGAAAGGTTAGAGTTTAATAAAGATATGGAAGCCCTCAACTCCAGGTGACAGCGGTCACATTAACTTTTGTACAGCATCAAAGATAATTCTCCTTATTACCGTCAGACATATGCAGGCTAGTGCAGCTATTGGGTGCTACTTATCATATAACTAATGAATGTGTTCGGAGTCAGAAACCAAATGATAAAAAACTAGAGACACTCACATTCATTTCTCCACTTTAAACATTTTATTACAGACAAAAGAAAACAAAAGAAGTATTTGTGACACAAAATGAATCTAATGCTGGTACACTGGTCCTGCACCAATAACAATTTCTGAAAAAATATTTATTATTCTAATAATTATGTTGTTTGATCAATAATAATAATAATAATAATAATAATAATGCACCCTGATCAAAATAAGCCAAAAATGTTACTTCATATCATTCATAAATAGATGTGAAACCTGCAACCAAATTAAATAGAATGACCATATTGTAAAACATATGATATTCAACAAAACAAAATGGGTTCTCTCATCACTGGCTTTTTACAAATTAAAGAAGTACATTTGGCAGGTTTATACACAAACTTAAAATATCTACTCCCATGAATGTTCCTCCGAAACGCAAATCCTGCTACAGTGAAAAAACAAAATATTTTCAGAATTTTTTTTCTTCACAAAAAATTATAAAGATGAGTTCAACACAATTCTAAAACACCTAATAAAACTAGTCAAAAACTTTAAAACCCACTGTTATGTTTTTTTTTTCTTTAGTAACATTTCACATTTAAGCAACTTTTTTTTGTATTCACCTGTACAAGTGGTGTCAGGACTACGGGTAGGTGGACAGGGTTACAGGTGGGGGCGGTCCTTATTGACCAAGAGTAGGAGGAGCTAAAAGGAGAGGTATCAACCTTTGACCCCTACAGTTCTGTAACGTCCTGAGGCCATGTGAAGAGAGTGACACTCTCTATCAGAGCTTCACCAGTTAAGAAGGAAATGGAGAATTTTACAGTCTCTGCATTTCTCTCTCGTTTGAAGAGAAACAAGACCAGTGAACACAGTTTCAACACAACTTTTAGTGTGTGTATTCCCTCACTGAATCCACCTGCAAGAAAATCACATAACCAAACACAAATAATGTTTAAAACAAAAGAAAGCAAGGGACTGCAGCTAAATACACACATAAGAGGGATCCATTTTGGTGATGTTTACAATCACTCTGTGAGAAAGAAAGGAAAAGAGGGAGTCCTTTAATAGGGGCGAGGATGATTTACAAATGTCTTAAGTGTAAGTGACTATCTTCATTATAATTTCACTTTGCTTTTACTCAGTCGGGGTGTTTCAGTCTGTCCTGAAGTACATCCACCCCTGCTGAGGCGACTATATTCTATATTCCTGTATTAGCTTTTCTACCCGAGACCCCTATGCTTTGAGTATGCTTAGAGCATTTCATCTCCCCATTGAGGCCAGTCCATGGCAAACACAGAGTAATGGAGTGAAGAAGAAAGAGAGCATCTTTAAAAAAATTCAAAACAGAATGAGGTCTTCATTTCCAGTATGTTGGCATGAGCTTAAAGCTTACTGCCCTCGCAAAAACCGGAAAGTTCACTGATAAGTAAAAAAGCAACAAAAAAAGAAAAAAGCAAGAGAAGTGCCCCAGGCTTCTGGCCGATCTAAGTGCTTGGCAAATAGGTGATGTTACTGTAGCAGTCTTTGGGATTTTCAAAATCCGTCACAAAAAGAAAAAAAAAGAAAAAGGAAATGGTGTAGAAGCAGATACATCGATGACGTTGTTATGGTGGAAAGCTCCCTGGAGTCTGACATTTGGAGGTCTTTCAACTTCAAGTGAGGTAGAGAGGCTTGTCCCGACCACTGCTGGAGGAGAAGAAACTGTATTAATGTATGTCTGGATACAAGTGAAAACAATGATCGACAAGTTGTATTTCTGTTTATCCTATATTTGATTTCATCATCTCACCAGGAAATTCCAGTGAAATTATGAAATCTAATTCAAGAAAGACAGGGCTAAGAAAGAAGCTCAAAAACATAAAAGCTGTCGACTAACAGGAGACATCAATTAGTATAAAGAAAACTACAAAAGTCAGAATTTGCAGTTGACTTCGTACTCAAAATGTCAAATACAGAGTCTGTTCTACAGTTATCTTAACTGACACACTGGAAATAATTCAGAACGCTCCAAAACTACAAACTCCGATGATCTGACACTGAGGGAAAAGGTTTAAGCAAAGACTCAATCGACTTCAAAGAGCATCAAACATGATTTGACCCAGGCGTGATCTCATTTGACATACAGATGAATCAGCTCTAAACACAGGAGATACTGACTTCCAGCACTGCTGCCTCT